ACGTGAGAGTTCACCCTACACTGACGTATCTCTGCAGGTTTTGTACTTACGGATATTTAACAATATGAAATTTTGTGGGAAAGGAAAAAGGGTTTTTAATTGCACAGCAAAGTGCTCGCAATGTACAGTTCAGTGGAATAGAAGGTTCAAAACTTCGTGTGCAGCATGACCCCAGCTCCTGCCCTGTCATATCTTCTTAGATGTATGCTGTAATATTTTATAAAAAGAAAATTTCATTGTGAAAGATGTAGCTATAAACCTAATTGTAGGGTGAATGTGATCCTTTCATCCTCTTCGGTTCTCATAAACGTGTTACATTCGAATCGTAAACTCCTGGCGCGGACAGCAGTGGTCAGAGACCCTGGCACGCTGTGCTCCAGATGAGCTGAGGAACCAACTCGGCCGAGGTCTGGGGTGGGCAGGGGCCCGGGGGCTGCCCGCCTCGGCGCTGCTGGCGCGGGTGCTCCTGCAGGGCAGTCCCCGGACCTTCTAAAGCACCCGTGTGGGGACCACGGATAAACGCCTAAGACCACAACAGTCCAAGGAGGCATCTGGTGACAGGTAAGGTGGGGAAATGGAAGGACGTTGTGAACCTTTGGAAGAGTAAAGAAGCGGAGAGGACGCCCTGGGCTGCTGCAGGCCCCGCGCGGTGCAGGCGGCCCAGGACGCCGTGGCAGAGTGGCGCAGTGCGTGGGCCCTACGCTAAGACACTTCTGAGCGGCTGTTTCCCAGCACCACCTCATTTGCCCTTTAGCCCCAGTTCTGTGCAGTGTAAACACAAGCAGTCTGCACAGACACCGCGTGATTTCAAAGGCGCTCTCCCACGGGGAAGCAGAAAAGGTAAAGGAAGAAAAAGAGTCAAAATGCCCCTGTAAGAAGCCCTGGCTGCTCGCTAAACCTTCCATTGTTCAACTACCTTTCAATTTGGAATTCTTTTGTTTAAGACTTCAAGTTTCAACTCCTTCTTAGAAAACGTCTGCGCATTCCTCCCCACGGTTCGCTGCCGGGAAGATAATGCCAGCCCTCGACCTTCCCCGAACCCTGACTTTCGCACCAGTCACCGTCTTCAGCACCGGGTGACGTGAAATCAATACCTTGTCTTCCTCGGGAACCGAGTTATTCAGAGGAGCGGCTGGACAAATAAGCTAATGGTGGCCATGAAACGCAGCTGGTTCTACAAGGACATCAGCCCGCACTGTCCTCGCAGCGCTTGCACCGCGAGTCACGGTGGGCGAGTGTTTAACAGGGCGTCTGCAGGCCCACCCTCCCTGCAGCGTCCTTGATCCCAGGATCAGCCCACAAAGCCCTAGAATCTCCTCCCAAATTCAGGCCGACAGCCTTTCTAGTGAATATGCGAAGGCAATCACCACAGCGCACTCACCCTTCGCATTTCTCAGACACAATTCTGAAGATTAGAATACGAAGATCCTCCTGATTTGTTACCATGTCATGGAGCAGTCAGAGGGGAAACCGTGGGCACCATCGGGAATGACTTCCTGTCATCGTGCGTCTCCTCACAGGTCTCCATTTATTCGGGGCGCTGTGAGTGCCGTCCCTTAACCCCCACTTAGGTGTAAGTTCCTTCTCAGACTCTTCTGCTGCTGGATCTGCTGTGACACAGCGCCGGCAGGGGACTCATGGAAATCTGCGAAGTGGCTTTCGGACTTTTTTAAAAGGGTACGAATAAGAAAAGCGCTCCCTTTTCCATTCCTTCCTGGTTTGAAATCAGGTGACAGATCTGAAGCTGTGGGACCATGCGGTAACAGTGCGAAGGCAAAAGCCAGCAAGTCAGTGACACAGAGAAGAAAGAAAGGGATTCTTCACAACATTTTTTTTTTTTTTTTTTTTTTTGGCCAGGGACGGAACTCAGGACCTTGTGCCTGCCAGGCAGGCAGCAGAACCACTGAGCTAAACCCCGGGTTCCTTGACATTTTAGGGGTGAAATTGTCTGTTGACTTCTAAAAAACCATCAAACGGTTAAACCAATAGCGAGGCACTGTCCCCAGGATTGCCTGGTTAGTTAAATAAAGAACCTGTCAAATAACTGGTGTATCGTTTATTTTAATCACATTTGTAAGAAGTATGGGTTGACTTAGAGAGGGTTGAAAGTTTTAAGGGACAAAGCAGCGAAGAGCTGGGATGTGTCATGAAGCACGGTACTCGCTTTTTTGTTCAGTTATTCATTCACATTCGGGTTTCCCCTTTCTACTAGAAAGCAAAGAGCTGAGCCAGCCGGTGAGCGATTAAAAACGCACAGAAGCTCTGCAAAGACCAGAACACGGACAAAGCTGGAGCTAAGGAAAAGAATGAAAAGGTGTGGACTGGAAAGAGGGAAAGAGGAGTAAGGGAAGGAGAGGAAGAATTAATTGCCCTTGTTCATAATGAGCTACGTAATCCGATTCGTCCCTCTCTACATTAGAGAACCATAGGTTATCCAACTATAATAACTTTAAAATAACTTAGAAGTCGTATAGTCTGATTTAGTCTAAGATGTGTCATCCTTAGTTTAAAAATATATCTTTAGAAGGACAAATCATAGTATTATTATGATTTTTCCTATAGTACTCATTCCTTCCTATTTATTCGTATTTGTCTCATTGAAAACCTTGCTCCTTTATTATGTTATTGAAGATCTAAACTATGAGTAGGACAGCAAAGCATATTTCAGTGAAGTTTAAACCAGTTGCAACCCTGAACGGGCAGAAGATGGAAAATAAGGCTTTAATCTGCCTGCCAGCCAATCTCCAAGCTTGTCGCTGAATTCTGTGAATCCTCCCATCAGAAGGTCAGCAGAACTAAAGGCTCCGTTGCACAAGTTGGTACCAGGACCACGTCCTCTGCCAAAAGAGCCTTGCAAAACAAAGGGCATCATTGTTTGAACAGACTGACCTGGCAACTTAGCCAGAAAGGTTTTTTCTTTCTACCAATTTAGTGGTGGAGACGGAATAAAGTCAAAGCCCTTTTGTATGGTGGAAGTACTTCCGTGTAAAGCTTAAGAGCTCCGAGGTCGTACCTACACAGGTCTGGATGCAGCTCGGCCCCTTAGGGGTCAGTGTAACCTCCGTGGCAGTCGGGGTTTCAGCTCCATCCTCTTCGGGGTCCCCCCAGGTGGCTGGGGGATCGCACTCCCGGGAGTGTCTGGGGTCTCAGTGTGGCTACTGGCATCTTCTGCTCTGGCACTCTGGCCCCACGCTGCTCCCCCTGCCACGAACAGAGCAGCTCTGCCCTCCACGCCTTTGTGCCGGGACAGCTCTACCTGGAGCCAGGCCATGAAAACGCATGCAAACGAAACCCCTTCCAGTCGCAGCTGTTGAGTGATCTGTCCCAGCACAAGAAAGCTAATACTGTGTACTTCTTCTGGAGCAATTTCTCCATTTGTAAGGCGGAAATAGCAGCTCTTAAACTTGGCAGACTGCTAGCTGCCTCTCAGAACCCATTTTCCCCTTTACCAAGAGCAAAAGAATCTTAGATTTTAGCTGTGCACGCAGATGACGAGAGGGGAGAAGATTTCTGAGTAGATGTGGCCGTGTGTGTAAGTCTGGGCTATATGTGAGAATGGTAAGTGCTACTGTGGGATGTGTACTTCATCTTTTTAGAATACAGATGTGATAGCAGGAGCCCTAACCCCTTCCTTTGCCAATGAGACAACCTTGGGAATGAGAGCTGCATATGCCAGGGGCGTTAGAAAGGTGCTGAGCCTCTGCTACCCTGTCACGTCAAACTCTTCTGGACTCCTTGAACAGGAAAGAGAAATAAACTACCTGACAGAAGCTATTGTTCTGGAGTACTTAATTCTCTTTTTGTCAAACGTAATCCTAATTGACAGTACTGCCACCAAAGGTTTTGAGACTCACATGAAACCGTGTGCCAGCATTATAGTCAGTGTGCAGCAAATGATGGCATTATTGTTACACGAGGCAGTGTGGGCTGCATGTTCAGAAGCACGGATCTGGAAAGGCTCACCTTTCAGACCAGCAACACTGAGAGGTTCCAGACACTCACCGAGGAAGGGGCTCTCCCAGAGCGTGACTTCTGATGTTACTGGAATAAATTACCTGCAGTCAAGAAAAGAAGTCAAACAGACCTGGAATAGCTCCTAATCCCCATGGTAACCAGATATTTTCTTACACTGAGTGTTGCTTAATGTTCTTGGTCTGAAGGACTCTAAATTTTGATGAGAAATTTTAAATGGAAAATAAAGGTATGGACATGCTATATCCTATAAAGCAAAACCCTCGGAATGGCGAAGGATCTCATGAGGATAACTCCATGTGACGAATAGCACTATGACAAAATAACTTCGGAAGGGAAATAAACTTTAAAACAAGGACTGCTGCTGCGTGTATGTGTGCATCCTGTAAATAATATATATAATTTCTTCATCAGACATTGCCACTGTGTATCGCAGATCCCGCTGGGGCAGCCTCCCTCCCTCCGATGCCGCTGCTGCAGTCCGTAGCTGTTAAAGGCGTCCAGGGGCAGCTATAAAACCCGTGTTGTCTGTGTGAAATGCTTTCATCCTCTTTCCCATAACTCTCTTGCTTCCAGAGTGCACCTTAGACTGCTAATTTACTTCCTCTATGGCAATAGCTCAATATCAATTCTGTGGATTGTCTGTACCTTTCTGAAAACAGATGCCTAAATTTGCAGCCTGAGTTTCTTGTAGTCCTGGGGAAAAAAGGTGAGAATCAAGTTCACAATGGCTAAACTTCCCCTCTAGGGAGTCTCCAAGGCAGAGAAGGCGTGAGCATGGGCCCCAACATCAACAAAGGACACAGACCCGTCCACCCTTGGGGCCCTCTTCTCTGTCTTGTTCTGGCTTGGTTTGGTTTTGAGGTAGGGGTACGCAGCCGTCTTGTGAGCTCGCAAACATCTCCTGTACCACCCAACCAGCACCTGACTGCTCTAAGTGAAGCCTTTGTAGCCAGCAGTCTGGGTTCTACAATGTGCTAACAACCAGAATTTTGACTTAATATTTCCAATGATAATGCATTAATATATCCATAAAGTTCCCAAAAAAGCAGAAAAAGAGTCAATATTAAAGTACAAACTGAGTGTGGTGGCCTCACCTGTAACCCCAGCACTCTGGGAGGCTGAAGCAGGAGGATGACAAGTGCAGGCCCAGCCTGAGTAATTTGTCCACGTGACAAGAACTTGCCTCAGAAAAGTCTCCTGGGGGTGTAGTTCAGCGCAAAGGCCCCGGATTCAATCCCCAGTACCACAGGAACAAAATTTTTCAGTTCAAAGAAAAGAAGCTATCGAGAGCTAAAAAGTTTTAGAATCTGGTATCATCTAGAATTTAGAAAGAAAGCAGGTGCACTTGCCTTATATTCAGGGCCAAGGAAGTGCTGCATTACCAAACTCACTAATTCTGTAGTGAACCAACCACACAAATATGGTAAAAAGTCACACAGCATTCAGGACTCTTCACACTAATAACCTGTGGTCAGATGAGGTCTGGGCAGGGGAGTCTCGAAAACACCTCCTCTTTTCCTCCTCCTTTCCTAGGTGCTCAGACTGTGATGGGAGGCAGGGGCTGGGAGCGTAGGGAGCTCTCACTCCAAGTGAGGGAAACGCAGAGCAATTTAATAAAAAATCCCTGTAAGCCATTAAGCAGTTCACGTTCGATAGTTCTAAATCAATCTCAACTTCCAATTACTACATTTCACTTGCAAACAAATCAGAAAAGTAGAAAGCATTGAAAATAGATGATTAACGCCTGAAAATGGACCGTTCTACATCAGGAAGGTACATTCTGCTCGTATTACACACACTTGTGCAGAACTTCTCCACAACAGATGGACTGGCAGTAAATGCATTAAAACCCAGCAGATGGCATAAACTCATGGGACCCTCCAAGGTGCCACGCACCTGTATTCCATCGAGGGCCCTCAGACTCTAAATCCAACATGCTTTAAACCTTTGGAGAAACCTGCAAGTCACTTTATAGTTGTCAAACACAAGGGAAGAGCTCTGGCAATCTTGTCATTACACCTGGATGGTGCTTCGTGCTTTTTCCCACATCTGTTCTCTTTATCCTGAGTCTTCCTTGATATTCCAAGTGACAGTGACTTCCCCCGAAATGTTTATGTGATTATGACTTAGAAGTGCTGAGACATGTTGAACTCAGCCTTCAGGACATTCGTCGACGAATATTGCTAAGAAGCAAGAAAATCGTCAAATGGCAAAAGTGAAAATAGGCCTTTGAACAATATTCTCACATAATTTGCACATTGGTGGCCTGTGTCAGTGTGTGCCGTCTCCATCTCTGTGACTTGCCAGGGGTTGCTGTGCTTTTTGAAATTCTGCCTTGTAAATAGGTGGTCAAGACCACTTAACTTGCTCATGTATCAGTGGGGACACACTGATGTCAATGAGCAATCAATTTTTAAACTGAATAAGAAAAAAGAAGCAGCAAATAAATTTTAGTATGGCCCAGAAATAATGTCAGACTTTTCATATTCTAATGTAAAGTAAGTCAGCATCACAATTTAAAAATCATGTGAAATTCTATTTTCTTCCCCAGTCTAAGTCTTTCAAAAGCTCCCATGTCAGCAAGAGGTGGTGATTTGTGTTTGTACAAATGCACCAGAATAGCTAATTCCATGACATCAGGGCAATGCAGTACCTGGAAAGAGGGTGATGACCGGTGGCCACCAACCATCGCTGTTTCATAAAATCACCGTCAGCCACCGAAATTATGTTTTTGAAAGAATGTAGCTTGGAAATAAGTACTTTATATTTTTTAAACTACTTATGTACCTATGATAAATTTCAAAACAGCAGGTTTTGACACGAGACAAACAGCAAGTCGGTTGTCCCTGTCACCAGGAGCCCTGACCACAACTCTGTCATCAGGCCCAGGGTGCTTTTCACCCTCGCCAAGCTTTTTCGTGACAAGCGAGAGAAGTGGGAGGCGCCATCCCTCCGAGGGAGGAAAACTCTCCATAGGTTGAATATTCCCCCAAATTATAATCTCTGCCATTAGTTAAGAGAACACAGTACTGCAGCAGCCAGGAAGCGAGAGTGTGCTCGTGTATTCCCTCCCTGCCCACCGGCAGTGGGCTGATACCGTGATCCAGTACCGTTTGCCACAGTGCAGAGCGAGGCCGGGACCTATCTCAGGGACCCGGGAAGGCAGGGTGGACATAGGGGGGTTAGTGACCCCCTTTATTAGATGGAATCACTTCAAGAATCATCAGAGAACTGCAAAGTAAGGGTCCAGGGTGTCTCATTGCTGACACCCTTTCTCAGGCTTCGTGCACGATGTGGTGTTTGTGAATTAAATGGCGGCAGCCCGGAAGTTAGCGCGGAAACCAAGCAAACATCTCTCTGCAACTAGCTTGCTCAAAGCAGGGCCAAGACATCTCATTCACCTGCACCAATCCGTGCCTGCGTCTATAACCATCCGCTTACTCCTAGCAAGACAATGTTCTGCTGTCTTTCCCAAGCCTCCAAGGTCCAGTTACTAGAAAGAAGCAGAAATAGACTAAACGTGCAAGAAAAACTTTGTCAACAAACTTTCAATGTGGATTATAGACAGAGACCCGGGCATATTCGTGATATGTATTTATAAGAAAAGTTATTTCATATTTCAGATCAGTGTTTTCCCCAAACTGCCACAGTAGGTGAGTTTCCTCAGTCAACTTGGGCCATTTGTGTGTCTTGAGTTAATCGATGAGGAATATGAGATAGATACCTAAAGGTACTTAGAAAATTATAGCAGGCTCGATTTTAATTAACACTTTTCTTACAAGCATATTCAGGTGGGAAAACTTGAGGAATCAGAAGTAACTGTGTCTGCTTCTGAGACCTACGTGAGCGGCACTGCTCCGACTGACTCGGGTTCAGTGCAGCTCGGAACCACGTGTCCCAACCAGCACACTCACAACCCATCTGCACCGGGATTCATCAAGGTTCCTTCTCAGAAGCAGGTATTTCCAGACCTCTTCCTAGCACTTCCAAACTGAGCCCAGGACTGAGTCCTCTGTGTGGTGCCGGGTCCAGTCCTCTCTGAGTCAACCCAGCCCTCTGAATCGCCCGGCTGTGTGATGGCCGCATCCCGGCCCTGCACCCAGGCCCCTGCAGGCCCCAGAGGGATGGGAGGGGACCTCGCACATCCACTGTGTCGCAGCCTGTGTGTCGCCAGAGCCCAGCTGCCCAGCGGTCCCTCGCTGTCCGTCCTCAGATGCAAGTGGGCAGGCCAGCTGGGCCGGAG